ATAAGGAAGAAGGAAACTTTTTTGGTTAAAAGCAGCAGTTTGTGTCTGCGTAGTAAAGTTTCAAAGCCGTATTACGTCTTCAAGTCCGTGAAAGGTTGTTACAAGGAAGAGGGAGGTAAATGTTCTCCTTAACGTCTGAGGACAGGACAAGAAGCAATGGGCTTAAATTGCAGCAAGGGCGGTTTAGGTTGGACATTAGGAAAAACTTCCCGTCAGGGTGGTTAAGTGCTGGAATAAATTACCCAGGGAGGTTGTGAGATCTCCATCATTGGAGATTTTAAAGAGCAGCCGTTTTAATCCGTCCCTTGAGTTCCCGCTGGGGAGCAGGGTCTGGGGCTTGCCCCGCTCCAGCACTCCAGCCGGAGAGCAGGTTCGGGGGCCGCACCTCGTGGCTGCCAGAAGCAGCGGCATGGCCCCCCGCCGGCTCCTAGGCGGAGGGGCAGCTAGGGGGCTCCACTCTGCATGCCACCCCTGCAGCTCCCATTGGCTGGGAACCGCAGCCAATGGGAGCTGCAGGGGCGGTGCCTGCAGACGGGGCAGTGCAAGGAGCCGCCTGGCCATGCCTCCACATAGGAGCCAGAGGGGGGACATGCTGCTGCTTCTGGGAGCCGCTTGAGGTAAGTGCCGCCCGGAGCCTGCACCCCTCAGCCTCCCCCCGCACCCCAACCCCCTACCCCAGCCCTGATCCCCGTCCCTCCCTCCAAACCCCTCAAGAAGAGCGAGGGGGGATTTGATAGCAGCCTTCAGCTACCTGAAGGGGGGTTCCAAAGAGGATGGAGCTCGGCTGTTCTCAGTGGTGGCAGATGACAGAACAAGGAGCAATGGTCTCAAGTCGCAGGACAGGAAGGTCTAGGGTGGATATTAGGGCCTGGTCTACACTAGGACTTTAATTCGGATTTAGCTGCGTTAATCCGAATTAACCCTTCACCCGTCCACACTACAGAGCCAGTTAATTCGAATTAAAGGGCACTTAAAATCGATTTCTGTACTCCACCTCGACGAGCGGAGTAACGCCTAAATCGATTTTGTTAATTCGAATTAGGGTTAGTGTGGCCGCACACCACCGAATTACTGTGTTTAAGTTAATGGGGTAGTGTGGCCGCACACCACCGAATTAATGTGGTTAAAAACCGAATTAAGGTGCTTAGTGTGGCCGCGCACAATCGAATTTATACAACCTGTTTCACAAATTCGAATTATCTAAATTCGGATTAAACCTGTAGTGTAGACATACCCTAAGAAACACTATTTCACTAGGAGGGTGGTGAAGCACTGGAATGGTCGCTTCCAGTCCTACGATTCGATGCTAAAACCATCAAAAATGAAAAATCGCATTCTGCCAGACCGAAATAGAAGAGCTGAAATAGAGCGAAGTTCAAACAAGGCGATTCAATGCTCACGAATCGATTTGCGTTTGACGGGAAAATGCCAAATTTTCCATGGTCTGTTCCCAAGCAAAATGAAAACAAACAAGACCAAAAATCAGAATGTCCCTTGGAAATTCCCAGGTGCCAGCCAGTGCCGTGGGGACATTATATAGGAGAACAGACTTGCAAGATGGCTCAGTGACCTGCAGTTCCTGACCATCAGGCTGGGCTCGTGCGGGTGAGGAACTCAGCAGAATTGAGAAATCAGCTGCACCAACATGGGACATGGCTCGGTGACCAGAAGCTTCTGAGATCTTTTTCAGCTTGGAAAAGAGACGGCGAAGGGGGATAGGACAGAGGTCTATAAAACCATGACGGGTGTGGAGAAAGTAAACAAGGAAGTGTTATTTACTCCTCATAACACAAGAACTAGGAGGCACTCAATGAAATTAATAGGCAGCAGGTTTAGAATATCAGGGTTGGAAGGGACCTCAGGAGGTATCTAGTCCACCCCCCTGCTCAAAGCAGGACCAATCCCCAACTAAATCATCCCAGCCAGGGCTTTGTCAAGCCGGGCCTTAAAAACCTCTAAGGAAGGAGATTCCACCACCTCCCTAGGGAACCCATTCCAGTGCTTCACCACCCTGCTAGTGAAATAGTGTTTCCAAACATCCAACCTAGACCTTCCCCACTGCAACTTGAGACCATTACTCAAAAGGAAGTATTTCTTCACACAGCGCAGTCAACCTGGGGAACTCCTCGCCAGAGGATGTTGTGAAGGCCAAGACTAGAAAAGAACTAGAGAAGTTCATGGAGGATAGGTCCATCAATGGCTATTAGCCAGGCTGGGCAGCAATGGTGTCCCTAGCCTCTGTTTGACAAAAGCTGGGAATGGGCAACAGGGGATGGATCACTTGATGATTCCCTGTCTGTTCATTCCCTCTGGGACACCTGGCATTGGCCACCGTCAGAAGACAGGATGCTGGGCTAAATGGTCTGACCCAGTATGGCCATTCTTATGTTCTTCAACAGGGCACAGGGCCAAGGGACAGCGAGATTCAGAGGGACCAAAAGATTACATAGGTGCACCAACAGGAGAGCCTGGAAGTTCTTGAGAACTTGCTCCAGAACCCATAGGACCCTGGTGGGGGCTCAAGGAAGCCAAACTTACCTTTGGACCAGCCCCGTGTTGAGCCAGATCTACCACGAAGAGGAGGACCGCACCGTAGGGACACGGCGGGCCACAATCCCTCCGCACCATCGCCTCCGGCCAGGGAGGTCGGCGTTGGACTCTCACAGGTGGCAGGAGGCCACTGAGGGGTACCCAGGGAAGGGAGCGGGCAGGAGCCAGGGTGGGAGCTCTCGTCGCTCCTGGCAAAGGCCAGGCAGAGGGACAGGACAACTCAAACATCACCCAGACCAGCGGCAGCCAGAGGCCAGCCCCCATCTTGCCTCTCTACAGCAATCAAGAGGGGCTAGTGCTCCGGATCCTCTTATACCCATACCCAGGCGCTGTTCCCACCTGGCTCAGGTAATTCACACCTCAGGGTGGATTGAACCCGGGGCCAATCACAGGCAGGAAGGAGGCTCAGGTGCAGCTGTAGGGGGCAACGCAGGGCAGCTGGAGACACAGATGGATGCTTGGGAGTTATGTGCTAAACTCACAGGGTGGGGGCCAGGAGCCAGGACTCCTGGGTTCTCTCCCCAGCTCTGGGAGGGGAGTGGGGGCTGGTGGGTTAGAGCAGGGGGGGCTGGGAGCCTCATGCAGGAAGTGTGTGACTATGTGTCTGTGCAGCACCTGGTGAGATGGGGGTGGGGGGAACCTGATCTCACTTGGGGGGGGCTGGGAGGGGCTGTCTAGTCTGCTCATGGGGACCCCAATCTTTTGGGGGGGGGTCTGTCCAGTATGTGGCACACTGTGGCCTCCCAATGTGGTTGGGGGTGTGTGGATGTGGGGGCCCTGAAGGCTGGGACCCATGGAGCGCCTGACCTGACAGGGGTCCCCCCAAAAACTCATTGTCTTCTCCAGGGGTCCTGCCATTCCCCCCACCCCTCCTTGGAGAGCCTCTCTTTCAGGGTCTCCCTGCCCCCCTCACCAGCCCACCCCCTCCTTTTGGGGTGTCCCATTCTTGGGGGGCTGCAGCCACCAGGCATTCATGTCCGCAAGCAACAGCTTCCTTCCGCTGACTCTGGGGCCCTGCTCACGCAGGGACTTGTGCGTCAGAAGAAAAAGGCCTGGGAGCAGTTTTAAGCTGGGGGGGGTCACCCCTGAAAATGGTTGCCCCTTCCCCCTCACTTAGCCACTCAGCTACCACCCCCCAGCCTGAGATAGGGTCAGTTTCGTTCTGTCCCTAGAAATTCCCCCCGGAATGAAATGTACACACAGTGCTGGCTTGGGGGAATCCTACAGAGCCCCTGTGATGGGAATAGTATGGGGGGGGGGGGCAGGAATAGGCCCAGCTCTAGACCAAAGCCCCCCCCCTGTTAAACTTTTAAATACTTTTATTTTTTATTGCATTTATAGCCTATTTCTCCACTCCGGTGCCTGCGTGATTTATCCCTGGCCCGTAAGACGGTGAATTCCCCTTTTGTGGTTAACAACCCAAACAGCTCCCCCAGGCTGGCACCTGCAAAGCCAGCCCCCACAGGCGGGCGCCTGACCCTAAACCCAGCCCGGGGAAATGGGGCACATGGTAACTGGAGGAAGGCAGCCTCAGGGGCAGGGAGAAGGCCGGGAGAGTATGAGGGACCCCCTAAAATAGAGAGAGGAGGAGGGGGCATAAGATGGGCAACAGGCCTGGTGCTGAGATGCGGCCACCTCTGGGGCGGGGCAGCTGGTTACACAGGGACCCCTTGCCTGGTGCTGAGATGCAGACAGCACCTTTCCTGCAGGGGGCAGCGTACACACACCCTGATCTCCCCCTTTGGGGAACCCTACCCCACCCCTAGAGGGCACCCCCAAAGACAGATCTCTCCAGTAGGAGGCACCACACACACACACACACTTTTTCAAAACACACAGTTTTTAATTTCTGTACAAAAGAGGACAAAGACCACCCGAATCTCAGCCACGCACAGATCATTCGTTAAAAACCCCTAACGAGAGGGAGCGCTTTTAAATAAAGACATTGGCCACACCCCCCCCCCATTAAACTCCCCCCCTTGCAATAAAAATAAAATACAATTCCACCATAGCGATGATGGGGAGAGATTCTTAAAGAAGGGGGGGGGCATTTTAAGGACAGACCATAAGATTTCAGGGTGGGGATCCCCCCCCTTCAGAGACAGATCAGGTCAGTTATATTGAGGTTTAACCCCGGCTAAAAAGGAAGAAAATCTGAGCTGGTTTCTCCAACGTATGGCAGAATATACACGCACCTTTATACAGGTATATCCTGTTTTGGGGTGCTCCCTGCTTATAAAATGAAAACCCACCCTCTCCCCCCAAATCAGCTATGCTGAACAGAATTTAGGGGCACCCCCTTACTCAGTTAACCCTCCCCCAGTACACAGCACCCCCAAAAATCCTCCCTGCACCCCAAAAATCCTTCCTATACCCCAAAAATGTGGGAAGGTAAAAAACAAAACCAATCTCAATGGGCATGAATGCTTTTAAAAACATCTCTGCAGAGTTTGGGAGCACCCCGATATTCCTAAGTGGGGGTACCCCACCCCCCACAATGCAAGGAGTTAACCCCTTCACAGGCTCCAGGATATCGACCGCAGAAAGGGGTACGGGCCGGACAGCTGGCATCAAATCAAGGCGCTAGACGTATTCCTTGTTGGTGGGGGTCCGGGAAGTGGCTTTGCTTTTGGGGTACTGCTGGTTGTACCCTGATTTCCCAGGGCAGGAACAGGAGAGGAGACCCCCGCCCAGCAGCACCAGGGCGGACCCAGCCCAGCCGATAAAGATCGCCGATCCAAATTCATACCTGGAGGGGGAGACTGATCAGATGTGGGCCCGCCCCCTTCCCCCAAGAGCCCCACCCTCTTTGGATCAGCCCCGCCCCTTTCCACTTAGCCCCGCCTCGTGCCCCTCTAGTCAGGAAAACTTAAGCGGCAGCCACCTCTGGGGTGGGGCAGCTGGTTATATTAGGATCCCTCGCCTGGTGCGGAGATGCAGTCCATTGAGGCCAGCCCTGCGTGCCAGGGGAGAGCGCCCCCTGCTGAGCCCCCCCCCCCCGCCCCCCGCCCCCCCGCGCCCCCCCGCGCCCCCCCCCCCCCCGCCCCCCCCCCCCCCCCGCTCCCTGCCCCACAGCGCCCCCTAGGGCCACGCATGGGAGAAGCCCGCAACTCACTTGGTGTTCACAGGTACCGTGATGTCATAGAAATCTCGCACGATCTGGTTTCCATACCAGGAACAGGCGATCAGCGCCGCTAAACCTGGGGAGGAGAGAAACATGGGCTTCGAAATGCCACCCGGTGCCATCTCGCGAACGTGGAAGTGGGACACAGGGCCTGTCCCCTCTGGGGAGCGCCGGGTCCCCTCCGGCCCCAGGACGGGGACTGGCTGGCTCAGGGGGGCGGGGAATGGGGCAGGGGCCTGTCCCCTCTAGGGGGCGCTGGCTCCCATCTGATTTCATGCATGAAATTAATTGCCCAGGTCTCAGCCAGTAGCCCCAGCAGTGGGAGCCTGGAACAAGGGCTCCCACCCACTCCAGGCCTGGGCAGGTAGAGGAACCCAGCGGCTACCCACCCGCCAGCCCCTTCCTCGACTCACCTCCCACCACGAAGATGAGCCCCCCAGTCATGGCGATGCGTGCCTTCTGCACCTTGTTGTCCCCCCCGCAGCGGGTGCATTTCATGCCCATGGAGGCGACACCAATGCCGATGATGCCCATCACGATGGAGACCACCATGAGCGCTCGTGTCGCCTGGAGAGCAGCTGTCGGGTGGAGAGAGAAACTGGGTGAGGCAGCTGAGTAGAACCCAGGAGTCCTGGCTCCCAGCCCCCCCTGCTCTAACCCACCAGCCCCCACTCCCCTCCCAGAGCCGGGGAGAGAATCCAGGAGTCCTGGCTCCCAGCCCCCCCTGCTCTAACCCACCAGCCCCCACTCCCCTCCCAGAGCCGGGGAGAGAACCCAGGAGTCCTGACTCCCTGCCCCCCCTGCTCTAACCCACCAGCCCCCACTCCCCTCCCGGAGCCAGGGGGAGAACCCAGGCATCAGTAGCAGGTGAAAAGGGTAGGAAGAAATGGTCAGTGTTCACAGTGGGGTCCCCGGGGGCTCTGCAGCGGGATGAGGGCTGGCCAGCATCCTTATCCACGGGGTGCCCTGTGAGGTGGCAACATTTGCAGAGACAAAATTACTGAGGCTAGTTCCCCCCGAAGCAGACGAAGGGATGTGTCACAACTGGGCAACACAACGGCAGAGGAAACCCAGTGCCGATCAGTGCATGGGAGAACATAATCCCAACTGTACCTATAAAATGATGGGGTCTAAATTGGTTGATACTATGCAAGAAGGATCTTGGAGTCACTGTGGATAGTTCTCTGAAAACATCCACTCAGTGTGCAACCACAGTCAAAAAAGCGAACAGAATGCTGGGAATCATTAAGAAAGGGATAGAGCATAAGAAAATATCCTGTTGCCTCTCTATAAATCCAGGGTATGCCCACACCTTGAATACTGCGTGCAGATGTGGTCGCCCCAGCTCAAAAAAGATTGATTGGCATCGGAAACGGTTCAAAAAAGGGCAAGAAAAATGATGAGGGGTCTGGAACGGCTTCTGTACGAGGAAAGATTAGTAACTTTTCAGCTTGGAAAAGAGACGGCTAAGGGGAGATAGGAGTGAGGTCTATAAACTCATGACGAGGGTAGAGGAAGTGGATAAGGAAGTGTTTACTACTTCTCCGAACACAAGAACTAGGGGTCACCCAATGAAAAGAATAGCCAGCAGGTTGAAAACAAACAAAAGGATGTATTTCTTCACCCAACGCACAGTCAACCTGTGCCTTGAGGATGTTGATGTTGTGAAGGCCAAGACTATAACAGGGTTCAAAAAAAGAACTGGAGAAGTTGATGGAGGATAGGTCCATCAGTGGCTATTAGCCAGGATGGGCAGGGATGGTGTCCGTAGCCTCTGTTTGCCAGAAGCTGGGAATGGGCGATGGGGATGGATCACTTGATGATTCCCTGTTCTGTTCATTCCCTCTGGGGCACGTGGCATTGGCCACTATCAGAAGACAGGAGAGTGGACTAGATGGACCTTTGGTCTGACCCAGTACAGCCATTCTTATGTTCTTCTCTTCTATCTATCTATCCACCCCCATCCACCCCGTATCTATCTATCCCCATCCACCCACTCAATGTGCAGCAGTGTCAAAAAAATGTTGGGGACCATCACACAAAGGAGAGATAATTGGACAGAAAATATCATGTTGCCGCTAGATAAATCCATGGGATGCCCACATCTTGAAGCTGTGCAGATGTGGTCACCCCGTCTCCAAAAAACATCGATTGGGATTGAAAAAGGTTCAGAAAAGGGCAACAAACATGATTCAGGGTCTGGAACGGCTGCCGTGTGAGGAGAAATGAACAAGACCAGAACTTTTCAGCTTGGAAAAGAGACGGTGAAGGCAGGATTTGACACAGGTCTATAAAATCGTGATGAGTGTGGAGAAAGTCAATAAGGAAGTGGTATTTCCTCCTTCTCACACGAGAACTAGGGGTCGGCAAACAAAATGAATAGGCAGCAGTTTCCGAACAAAAGAAAGGAAGTATTTTGTCACGCAACGTACAGTCGATCTGTGGAACTCCTCGCTAGGGGATGTGGCGAAGGCCAAACGTATAACTGGCCTCCACAACGAATTTGAGAAGTTGCTGGAGGACTGGTCCATCAATGGGTGTTCGCTAAGAAGGGCCGGGGGGCAACCCTCTGCTCTGGGGGTCCCTAAACCTCCGAGCGGCAGATGCTGGGAGTGGATGCTGATTGCTAATCCCTCTGAACCACTGTCAGAAGACAGGACACTGGGCTAGAGGGACCATTGGTCTAACCCTTAAGAGTCTTGCCTCCCAGCTCCCCCTGCTCTAACCCACCAGTCCCCACTCCCCTCCCCGAGCCGGGAAGAGAACCCAGGAGACCTAGCTCCCAGCCCCCCCCCTGCTCTAACCACCAGCCCCCACTCCCCTCCTCGAGCCGGGGAGAGAACCCAGGAGTCCTGGCTCCCAGCCCCCCCATATCTAACCACTAGCCCCCACTCTCCATATAAATCTTTGTAAACCATTTATCACCGTAGTAGCCTAAAGCTATAGATGCTTTGGGTTAATTACAACCTTGGTAAAGAGCATCTCATTCCATCTTTGTTAATTTGCCCTGGGGAGGGAAATCTAGGATCAAAGCAGGGTGGGGGTGGGGAGCCAGGACTCCTGGGTTCTCTGCCCAGGTCTGGGAGGGTAGTGGGGGCTGGTGGGTCAGAGCAGGGGGGG